TTATGGCTGTGTATTCAGCGCGGCGAGCACTTTGACATTTATATTAAAATCTACACAAGTTTTCTCAACTTTGGCGAGTTCTTTCCCGCTCTCACCGGCTGCAGATGTGACACACGTATGTAATTCTGTATCTGTTACTTAGCAACCAAAGTTACCTGTGAACTTTCTCTGAAGTGTCGTGGGAAGGACATGGGTCTAAATGGCTTTTCAGTGTAATCACGTTTATTGCAGGTTTGATCGATTAATTTTATTCATTCGAGCTAAAATTTAGGATAAACAGTATTTAGATTCCGTAGTTAACATAACCGTTTATACACTGTCTTCTGCACTTACGGTACATTGCACATATTTAAACATAAATACACAATCAAGCAACAATATCTGCCCCAGTTTAACCATCCGCGGTGTATTTACAATATCTATATATCTTTACAAGCACATCTCTCTTTAAAAAGTGTCTGAGTGGAACAGAAGTAAGTAAATGGAGTGGGAAATGTGAACAGTAGAACAACAGAGACAACTTAAGCCTGGTTCACACGGCAGGATATTTAGGCCGATTTAGACCCGATTTACCCCTTACGACAATCTTAAGAAACGCTCCGATTTCCGTAACAAAATCTTACAGATTATCCTGCCGTGTGTGGTGTGTTAAGACTGCACTCGTCGCTCGGAAGGACATCGGGACTGCTCCCGATCTCAAATCGGGGATATCCAACATGTTGGATTGTTTTGGCCCGATTTCTCTTCGTGTGTGGTGTCCCCCGAGGACAGACGTGCGCGTTGCCATGACTGCGGCGTGTAGCCAATCAGAAGACGAGACGAGGCGGCGAGGAAACGCCTCCATATCACGATGTAGCGAGTATAGTCCATGCTCGTGTTGTCTACACTTCTGTGACCATCGCCTTTTCTTTTCATTACGTCTTTTCTCCGATAAAAACAAACTATCGCCAATGCATCCTCTTCGTCCGCCATGTGTGTTTACTCTGAAGTCACGCTTGATCTCGCGAGACCTGAGATTTCCGTCTGATCTGTGAATACGGGGGGGGGGAAATCGGTTCGTGTGTGGTTTGCGTGATTTTTGGCGTGTGGCTGTACGACCAAAGTGGTTCTCCCTGTGTGGGGTCTCACACAGAGAAAAATCGGCCGACAATTTTAAAATCGTCTCGTGTGAACCAGGCTTAACACACACTAGCCCTGGCCCTAGTGTTATTAGCATCTAAATGGTCCTCACGCAGAGAGACTGTTTTTATAATACTCAAAAGTTGGTGTTTTGCTTCTTGACTCCAGCTGATAAACTATTGTATTGTGCCACCCTGTTTTTCTTCACTCGCAAATAATGAAGCAGACCAGTCCCATTGTCTTCAAGCTATTTTATTTTTTTAATTAAAGCAGGAGAGGTCCGTGGCGCCATAGCGACAGTGAAGCAAATGAAAATGTAGTTGGACAAAAGGGCGAGGATGTGTTATTTTTTTGTTTCTAGCATTCACAGAGAAACAGGACTAAACATTGGGAGGCAGCATTCTGGAACAGTCTTCCTGAAAATATGAGACAGACTTTTAATCTGACAATGTTCAAGTTAAACCAGTTCAGGTTAAACCATTGTTCATTTGTTTTAATTTCTTTTTTCAATCTTGTTTTGTTCAGCACTTTAAGTTTGCCCCGTGTATACACTGTCCTTGAGCTGGTACATATGTGCGTCGGTACTACGAAGCGCGCAGGGCTGGAGGAATGCATGTTGGTAGTGCCGGACCTGTAGCGGGTTCGGGAGCCGCAGGTGCGGGAGCCGCGGGAGCCGCAGGTGCGGGTATCTCCGAATAAACTGTATCATGCCCTTTACAATTGTGTCTTATAATGCGCGCGGGCTGCGCGTTGGACACAGTAAAGCAGACTCTGCACGTCGGGCTGTAGTGGACTCACTTCTGCAAACCTGTGATATCTTATGTATTCAAGAGACTTTCTTAGCCAAGCAGGATCTGGATAAACTTAACGCTGTGCATGTGGACTTCCATGGGGCAGGGGAATCCACGACAGATCTGAACACTAAGCTACTTAAAGGCAGAATCTCAGGCGGAGTTGCTGTACTTTGGCACAAGAAATATGATTCTGAGGTTACTGTGCTCAGGTTGGGAGTTGACTGGGCCATTGGGCTTCAGGTTCAGTGTAGTCGTGGGAAGTTTCTCATTCTGAATATATATACTCCTTATGAGTGTGCTAATAATGAGGATGAATATCTAAATTGTCTGGCTGGGATTATGGCATTTATTCAAGACCTTAAACTGCACCTGTATATTTGTAGTTGGGGACATGAATGCTGATGTTTTGGATGAGAAATCTCTATTTGCCAATCATTTAAAGCAATTTTGTGTTGAGAACCGCCTAGTTCTTTCCAGTATGGCTCTTCTCCCAAGCGATAGCTTCTCATATGTTAGTGACGCCTGGCACTCAACATCCTGGCTTGACCATTGTATATGCACCAGTGATGCTCATGCAGTTATTGATAGCATGCAGATCAGATATGATTTGGCTACATCTGACCACATGCCACTTGTTATTAAATGTAACCTGGGTAGTGTTCCCTTGATTACTTCTTTAGGGCCGTCTGTATATTGCGAGAGAGTGGACTGGTCTAAGCTTACTTGTGAGGACATCTGTGCATATACTCGGAGAACACATGTTAATCTTGGACATATTGATCTGCCGAGGGATGCTATTTTATGCCGTGATATGAACTGTACAAATCATGAACATTCTACCCAACTGGATTTGTTTTATTGTAAAATTCTGGAAGCCCTTATAAGTTCTGGGAAACCCTGTCCAAACAAGATACGCTCCCCCTGTGGAAAGCCCGGTTGGAATAGGCACGTAGGTGAGGCTCATGCTGAGGCCCGTGCTGCATTCAAAGCTTGGGTGGATGCAGGGAGATGCAGGAGTGGACCTCTGTTTGAAAACAAGAAATATGCAAATGCAAGATACAAATACAGTCTGAGGTACATAAAAAAGAATGAACAGCGTCTTAGGGCTGAATCTCTGGCATCTAAGCTCCAAGACAACACCTGCAGTGACTTTTGGAAGGAGATAAGAATGATGAGTAACAGCAACACCTCCCTCCCTTCGGTTGTGGATGGAGTGAGTGGCTCACAAAATATTTGTCAATTATGGAAAGAATTTTACTTTGATCTCTTTAATTGTATTAAGGGAAAAGCTCCCATTGTAGGTTCTATTTTAAACAATGCAGGTTCAATAGTAACGCCACAAGAGGTTTTTAATGTTGTCCACAAACTCAAAAGTAAAAAGTCATGTGGCTCAGATAATATCACATCTGAACACCTCAAATTTGCAAGTAAGAATATGTACCCTCTGCTGGCCCTGTGTTTCACTGGATTCATGGTTCATGGTAGTCTGCCTGAATCTCTTCTGTCAGTTCTGCTGGTCCCTGTTATTAAAGACAAAGCAGGAAAACTGACTAGCTCAGCTAACTATCGTCCTATAGCTTTGGCTAGCATCGTTTCCAAAGTTCTTGAGACTGTGATTTTAAATAGACTTGAACCTTTTTTAAGTACAACTTTTAACCAGTTTGGTTTTAAATCTGGCCATGGTACAGACACTTGTATTTTTGTACTGAAGGAACTTTTAGATAAATATCATTGTCAGGGCTCTACAATGTTTGTGTGTTTTCTAGATGCCTCCAAGGCTTTTGACAGAATTGATCATGAGAAATTGTTTTCGAAACTGTCAAAGCGTGGAGTTCCTGGGTATCTGATCAGACTGCTTATTTTTTGGTATTCGGAGCAGACCATGCAGGTGAAATGGGGGGAGGCTCTTTCTGACTCCTTCAGAGTCTCTAATGGGGTTCGTCAGGGAGGGATTCTCTCTCCCATGTTGTTTAATGTGTACATGGATGACCTGTCGGTGCAACTGAACACCTGTACCACAGGATGCAGTGTTGGTTACAGCAGATATAATCACCTCATGTACGCAGACGATCTGGTGGTGTTCAGTCCCTGCAGTGCTGGTCTTCAGCAACTACTTAATGTGTGCTCTCAATATGGTTTGGATCATAATATCAAATATAACGCTGCAAAAAGCCTGGTAATGATTGCGCGTACTAAAGATGACAGTAAATTATGTTTTCCTGATTTTTTCCTTTCCGGAAACCTTTTGGAATCTGCAGATGAGGTGAAATACCTCGGTCACTACATCACCAGTGACCTTTCTGATGACAAGGACATGCACAGGCAGCTGTGTCAGTTATATGGCCAATCAAATATGCTGCTACGTAAGTTTAGTATGTGCTCTCCTGAGGTAAAGGTAACTCTTTTTAAATCTTACTGCTCACCTATGTACACTGCTTACCTTTGGAAGAGTTTTAAAAAGTCCAGTTTGCAGAAACTCACTGTGGCCTATAACAACTCCTTGAGGCTGCTGCTGAAGGTTCCTCGGCACAGCAGCGCAAGTGAGATGTTTGCTTACTGTGGTGTTCGATCTTGTTCTGCATCTCTTCGAAATGTTCAGTTCAGATTTATGTGTCGTCTGAGGAACTCTATTAATGTGATTGTTAAGACTCTCGTCAGCCCCGAGTTCTGCTCACTGCTGTTCACCTCCAAATTATGGACTTACTGGAGGTTATGCCTTTATACTGTTCAGCAGCTGTAATGTTCTCTTTGGTTTGTTTTCTTGTATATATTTTTTCTTTGGTTTTTTTTAACTATGGACCGTGTTGTATTGTGTCCTTAATAAAGATTAATAATAATAATAACTGTGCTAACTTTAGTAGTTTATATGTGATAAGTTTATGTAAAGAATGTGTTATGGTTAAAACTCAAACAGGATCATTTTTCTACACACGTCTCCTTTAAAAGAGCTGTACTGTGGTGTTCCTTCCCTTCTCTGACCACACCTCATTATGACCCATGAGATCCAGTGACCGCCGCAGTCTTACTCATTAACAGAGCCTTGCCACAACCCGCCTCCTCCCCAGAGAAATGCACAGGAGAGCGGCCTCAAGGTGACGGAGGGAACAGCAGGAAGGAGGAGGGGCCACTGTGGCGAGGCTCCACACAACAGTGACATCACAATCACAAGAAATGAAAGTGTAGTGATTCTTTATTTCAACACAAACCTCCTCTTCATCTGAAGTCTCCACTCCTCATCAAAGAGCTCCACGTTGTTTTCATCTCTGGACACCACAATGGGCAGGACGCCTTTCTCAGTTCAGACCTGGACACAACAGAGTCTCAGTCTCAGAGAGACAGACGCAGTCTCTCTGTTTACACTGCTTTTCTTTTAGATAAGACCGTTACTTGTCCCACAGTGGAGCATGTCAGTGTGGCACTGCACATACAGGACAGTAATAACACACAACATATACAGTACAACACAGTACAAGTATGCTAGTGTATACTAACAACTGTATTTGGATAAACATGGTAGACTCACATAGCTGAATGTGTCTCCCTCCTCGGTCTCATCGTATTCTTCTGCTGTGAACTCAGAATAATCTTCTCCAATCATCTCCTCCACCCTCTTCTTCACCTGAAGAGAAACAGAAGTTCAATACTGTCTTAGTTTGGTTTTCCAGTAGGTGGAATGCATCTGTGGCAGGTGCCAGTGCCACAAAAGGAGCCTCCCCTTACTGCAAAATCAACTACACACTCTCAATGACCCCTGTTCAACCCACTCAACCCTGGTTTAAATCACTCAACTCTGCCATTAATAAATTCTACTGGAAAAACAAACCACAGAAACAAAACTACAGGGAGGTCTCAATGCCCCAAATCTTCACCACTATTCTTTAGCTAATCATTTACAGCACATACACAAATGGATCCACTCAAACACATCTGACTCCATCTGGATGGACACTGAACAATCACTTTGCAATAACATCAACCTCTCAGACCTACCCTTCCTTAATCAATAAAGAAAGAAATATACACTTTTCAAAACACCAACGATATCGGCAGCTCTGACAGCCTGGTGGAAACTTCACGATCTAACAAACACCCCCCTTGCCCCATCCATCCGCTCCCCAATTTGGCACAACCCAGAATTCACAAGCAACAATAAACCTCTGTACTTCCATTCATGGGCAGATAAAGGTATAACTCACCTCAATCACATTCTCACAAATAACAGTTTAAAACCACTGACACGATTGGACCAGGAGTATAAATGCTTCCTCCAATACTTACAACTAAAATCAGCAATCCAAAAAAAAAATCAACATCCAAACAATAAATCTAGGCCTTCATGATACAATTGCGGATTTCATAAATATTCCCCCCAAAAAACTGAACACCAACATGTACAAAATAATCACCAAATCAGATAATACACAATCTCTTCCAACTGCAAAGTGGCAACAAGATTTAGCATTTACTCCCAGTGCCAACTTCTGGACCCAAATCTGTAAAAATATGTATTCAAAGACCACCAACTCCAACCTCCCACTCATACAATTCAAAATCCTACACAGATATCACTACACCGGTTACAAATGATCAACAATGGGATCCACTTCAGACATCTGCCCCCTCTGCACACAGGGTTGTAGGGACAATTACATCCACGCTCTTTGGCACTGCACTCCGGTCCAAGCATTCTGGACACACTAATGTTCTATTCTAATGTCGCTAGCTATCGCCAAAAAAACAATACTCATAAACTGGAAAACCAAAACCATCATACACACCTCCACATGGGAAAACTTAATGATTATATTAATAAACATAACAATGTTTATGAGTGTGTTAAAAAATCACATTTAGAAAGACAGGAAAGTCAGACAATCTGGAAAAGAGAGAGACCAGAAAAAATAGAGAGGAACCAGAGAGAATACAGAGAGAGAGAGACCAGAGAGAGAGACCAGTGCGAGAGACCAGAGAGAGAGAGACCAGAGAGAGAGACCACAGAGAGCAGAGAGAGAGACCACAGAGAGAGACCACAGAGAGAGAGACCACAGACAGAGACCAGATAGAGAGACCTCAGAGAGAGCAGAGAGAGAGACCACAGAGAGAGCAGAGAGAGAGACCACAGAGAGACCAGAGAGAGACCACAAAGAGAACAGAGAGAGAGACCACAGAGAGAGACCACAGAGAGAGACCAGAGAGAGAGACCACAGAGAGACCAGAGAGAGACCACAAAGAGAGCAGAGAGAGAGACCACAGAGAGAACAGAGAGAGACCACAGAGAGAGACCACAAAGATAGACCACAAAGAGAGACCACAGACAGAGACCAGAGAGAGAGACCACAGAGAGACCAGTGAGAGAGACCACAGAGAGACCAGAGAGAGAGACCACAGAGAGAGACCAGAGAGAGAGACCACAGAGAGACCAGAGAGAGACCACAAAGAGAGCAGAGAGAGAGACCACAGAGAGAAACCAGAGAGAGAGACCACAGAGAGAACAGAGAGAGAGACCACAGAGAGAGACCACAAAGAGAGACCACAGACAGAGACCAGAGAGAGAGACCACAGAGAGACCAGTGAGAGAGACCACAGAGAGACCAGAGAGAGAGACCACAGAGAGAGACCAGAGAGAGACCACAGAGAGACCAGAGAGAGAGACCACAGAGAGAGACCAGAGAGAGACCACAGACAGAGACCAGAGAGAGAGACCACAGAGAGACCAGTGAGAGAGACCACAGAGAGACCAGAGAGAGAGACCACAGAGAGAGACCAGAGAGAGACCACAGAGAGAGCAGAGAGAGAGACCACAGAGAGAGAGACCACAGAGAGAGACCAGAGAGAGAGACCACAGAGAGAGACCAGAGAGAGACCACAGAGAGAGCAGAGAGAGAGACCACAGAGAGAGAGACCAGAGAGAGACCAGAGAGAGAGACCACAGAGAGAGACCAGAGAGAGACCACAGAGAGAGCAGAGAGAGAGACCACAGAGAGAGAGACCACAGAGAGAGACCAGAGAGAGAGACCACAGAGAGAGACCAGAGAGAGACCAGAGAGAGAGCAGAGAGAGAGACCACAGAGAGAGAGACCAGAGAGAGACCAGAGAGAGAGACCAGAGAGAGAGACCAGAGAGAGACCACAGAGAGAGTCCACAGAGAGAGTCCGTCCAGTCCCGGCTTTAAGAGTTTTTGGGCCACAGAAAAAAAAAAAAAAACTCTCTGAGAGTAAAAATGGCCAGTTTGACCAAAGAACATCATCGATATTTTCACATTTTCTCCATTTTGATTTCTTTTAGCTGCATGTCTTTGAGTTCACAGGCTCGACTCTGCTCCCGTCTCTTATTGCTGCTTCCTGTTGCATTATTCACTCACTGCCCACACACTCTGAGGTGGTAAACTTGTTCCGTAGCCGCAGTCGCCCTGGGGACCACCTCAAACTGCTCTCTTCTTCTTCTTCTCTCCCACACCACCTCCTCGTACTCGCCCCATAGTAACATTACAGACGTTTGAACTCAATAATGCATGCGCCGCTTTCCAGACACCTCCAGTCACTTATACTTTGGTCCATTATTCATCCGCTCATCGTCACACGAGCGGCGGTAAACGCTTTCTCGCGCCACAGCTGCCAAAAGGGCAAACTGAAACAGAAGTGGCTGCAGTTTTGTGCCATTGGACTCACAGACAAAAAAACCAAAAACATTTACTTTCACTCTTTCTGTTGGTACAAACAACACGTATAATTTATGGAACATTAAAGTTTGGTACCCCAGCTTTAATTTTATTGGACATTTTTGCATCTCATAAAGATTAACCAGACCCCAGTTATTATTATGTTTACTTTTTAATGCGCTGGAAACGGCTGTGAGTCCAAAGTGTCTCTGAAACAGTTGTTTTGTGTTTTACAATTGATATTTTTCTTGCACTTTTCTGCCTGAGATGTTGCTGCAGTTCAGTGTTCATGGTTTTACACTGGTCCAGACCAGAGCAGAGAGGATTCATGGTTTTACACTGGTCCAGACCAGAGCAGAGAGGATTCATGGTTTTACACTGGTCCAGACCAGAGCAGAGAGGATTCATGGTTTTAGACTGGTCCAGACCAGAGCAGAGAGGATTCATGGTTTTACACTGGTCCAGACCAGAGCAGAGAGGATTCATGGTTTTACACTGGTCCAGACCAGAGCAGAGAGGATTCATGGTTTTACACTGGTCCAGACCAGAGCAGAGAGGATTCATGGTTTTACACTGGTCCAGACCAGAGCAGAGAGGATTCATGGTCCGACCCAAGCAGATCAGGTGAAAATCCACTGGAGGAATGCTAACTTTATGAAAAAAGCTAATAAAGCATTTATCATTTCACTTTGGACCAGAGCAGAGACAATGGTCTGAACCATCTCCACCTCTGCTGCTGTGACCCGTCCTGCTCCACCCAGAGGCTACTCCACCTCTGCTGCTGTGACCCGTCCTGCTCCACCCAGAGGCTACTCCACCTCTGCTGCTGTGACCCGTCCTGCTCCACCCAGAGGCTACTCCACCTCTGCTGCTGTGACCCGTCCTGCTCCACCCAGAGGCTACTCCACCTCTGCTGCTGTGACCCGTCCTGCTCCACCCAGAGGCTACTCCACCTCTGCTGCTGTGACCCGTCCTGCTCCACCCAGAGGCTACTCCACCTCTGCTGCTGTGACCCGTCCTGCTCCACCCAGAGGCTACTCCACCTCTGCTGCTGTGACCTGTCCTGCTCCACCCAGAGGCTACTCCACCTCTGCTGCTGTGACCCGTCCTGCTCCACCCAGAGGCTACTCCACCTCTGCTGCTGTGACCCGTCCTGCTCCACCCAGAGGCTACTCCACCTCTGCTGCTGTGACCCGTCCTGCTCCACCCAGAGGCTACTCCACCTCTGCTGCTGTGACCTGTCCTGCTCCACCCAGAGGCTACTCCACCTCTGCTGCTGTGACCTGTCCTGCTCCACCCAGAGGCTACTCCACCTCTGCTGCTGTGACCCGTCCTGCTCCACCCAGAGACTACTCCACCTCTGCTGCTGTGACCTGTCCTGCTCCACCCAGAGGCTACTCCACCTCTGCTGCTGTGACCTGTCCTGCTCCACCCAGAGGCTACTCCACCTCTGCTGCTGTGACCTGTCCTGCTCCACCCAGAGGCTACTCCACCTCTGCTGCTGTGACCCGTCCTGCTCCACCCAGAGGCTACTCCACCTCTGCTGCTGTGACCCGTCCTGCTCCACCCAGAGGCTGCTCCACCTCTGCTGCTGTGACCCGTCCTGCTCCACCCAGAGGCTACTCCACCTCTGCTGCTGTGACCCGTCCTGCTCCACCCAGAGGCTACTCCACCTCTGCTGCTGTGACCCGTCCTGCTCCACCCAGAGGCTACTCCACCTCTGCTGCTGTGACCCGTCCTGCTCCACCCAGAGGCTGCTCCACCTCTGCTGCTGTGACCCGTCCTGCTCCACCCAGAGGCTACTCCACCTCTGCTGCTGTGACCCGTCCTGCTCCACCCAGAGGCTGCTCCACCTCTGCTGCTGTGACCCGTCCTGCTCCACCCAGAGGCTACTCCACCTCTGCTGCTGTGACCCGTCCTGCTCCACCCAGAGGCTACTCCACCTCTGCTGCTGTGACCCGTCCTGCTCCACCCAGAGGCTACTCCACCTCTGCTGCTGTGACCCGTCCTGCTCCACCCAGAGGCTACTCCACCTCTGCTGCTGTGACCTGTCCTGCTCCACCCAGAGGCTACTCCACCTCTGCTGCTGTGACCCGTCCTGCTCCACCCAGAGACTACTCCACCTCTGCTGCTGTGACCTGTCCTGCTCCACCCAGAGGCTACTCCACCTCTGCTGCTGTGACCTGTCCTGCTCCACCCAGAGGCTACTCCACCTCTGCTGCTGTGACCTGTCCTGCTCCACCCAGAGGCTACTCCACCTCTGCTGCTGTGACCCGTCCTGCTCCACCCAGAGGCTACTCCACCTCTGCTGCTGTGACCCGTCCTGCTCCACCCAGAGGCTGCTCCACCTCTGCTGCTGTGACCCGTCCTGCTCCACCCAGAGGCTACTCCACCTCTGCTGCTGTGACCCGTCCTGCTCCACCCAGAGGCTACTCCACCTCTGCTGCTGTGACCTGTCCTGCTCCACCCAGAGGCTACTCCACCTCTGCTGCTGTGACCCGTCCTGCTCCACCCAGAGGCTGCTCCAACTCTGCTGCTGTGACCCGTCCTGCTCCACCCAGAGGCTACTCCACCTCTGCTGCTGTGACCCGTCCTGCTCCACCCAGAGGCTACTCCACCTCTGCTGCTGTGACCCGTCCTGCTCCACCCAGAGGCTACTCCACCTCTGCTGCTGTGACCCGTCCTGCTCCACCCAGAGGCTACTCCACCTCTGCTGCTGTGACCTGTCCTGCTCCACCCAGAGGCTACTCCACCTCTGCTGCTGTGACCTGTCCTGCTCCACCCAGAGGCTACTCCACCTCTGCTGCTGTGACCCGTCCTGCTCCACCCAGAGACTACTCCACCTCTGCTGCTGTGACCTGTCCTGCTCCACCCAGAGGCTACTCCACCTCTGCTGCTGTGACCTGTCCTGCTCCACCCAGAGGCTACTCCACCTCTGCTGCTGTGACCTGTCCTGCTCCACCCAGAGGCTACTCCACCTCTGCTGCTGTGACCCGTCCTGCTCCACCCAGAGGCTACTCCACCTCTGCTGCTGTGACCTGTCCTGCTCCACCCAGAGGCTACTCCACCTCTGCTGCTGTGACCCGTCCTGCTCCACCCAGAGGCTGCTCCACCTCTGCTGCTGTGACCCGTCCTGCTCCACCCAGAGGCTACTCCACCTCTGCTGCTGTGACCCGTCCTGCTCCACCCAGAGGCTACTCCACCTCTGCTGCTGTGACCCGTCCTGCTCCACCCAGAGGCTACTCCACCTCTGCTGCTGTGACCTGTCCTGCTCCACCCAGAGGCTACTCCACCTCTGCTGCTGTGACCTGTCCTGCTCCACCCAGAGGCTACTCCACCTCTGCTGCTGTGACCCGTCCTGCTCCACCCAGAGACTACTCCACCTCTGCTGCTGTGACCTGTCCTGCTCCACCCAGAGGCTACTCCACCTCTGCTGCTGTGACCTGTCCTGCTCCACCCAGAGGCTACTCCACCTCTGCTGCTGTGACCTGTCCTGCTCCACCCAGAGGCTACTCCACCTCTGCTGCTGTGACCCGTCCTGCTCCACCCAGAGGCTACTCCACCTCTGCTGCTGTGACCCGTCCTGCTCCACCCAGAGGCTGCTCCACCTCTGCTGCTGTGACCCGTCCTGCTCCACCCAGAGGCTACTCCACCTCTGCTGCTGTGACCCGTCCTGCTCCACCCAGAGGCTACTCCACCTCTGCTGCTGTGACCTGTCCTGCTCCACCCAGAGGCTACTCCACCTCTGCTGCTGTGACCCGTCCTGCTCCACCCAGAGGCTGCTCCACCTCTGCTGCTGTGACCCGTCCTGCTCCACCCAGAGGCTACTCCACCTCTGCTGCTGTGACCCGTCCTGCTCCACCCAGAGGCTACTCCACCTCTGCTGCTGTGACCCGTCCTGCTCCACCCAGAGGCTACTCCACCTCTGCTGCTGTGACCCGTCCTGCTCCACCCAGAGGCTACTCCACCTCTGCTGCTGTGACCTGTCCTGCTCCACCCAGAGGCTACTCCACCTCTGCTGCTGTGACCCGTCCTGCTCCACCCAGAGGCTACTCCACCTCTGCTGCTGTGACCGGTCCTGCTCCACCCAGAGGCTACTCCACCTCTGCTGCTGTGACCTGTCCTGCTCCACCCAGAGGCTACTCCACCTCTGCTGCTGTGACCTGTCCTGCTCCACCCAGAGGCTACTCCACCTCTGCTGCTGTGACCCGTCCTGCTCCACCCAGAGGCTACTCCACCTCTGCTGCTGTGACCCGTCCTGCTCCACCCAGAGGCTGCTCCACCTCTGCTGCTGTGACCCGTCCTGCTCCACCCAGAGGCTACTCCACCTCTGCTGCTGTGACCCGTCCTGCTCCACCCAGAGGCTACTCCACCTCTGCTGCTGTGACCTGTCCTGCTCCACCCAGAGGCTACTCCACCTCTGCTGCTGTGACCCGTCCTGCTCCACCCAGGGGCTGCTCCACCTCTGCTGCTGTGACCCGTCCTGCTCCACCCAGAGGCTACTCCACCTCTGCTGCTGTGACCCGTCCTGCTCCACCCAGAGGCTACTCCACCTGTGCTGCTGTGACCCAGAGGCTACTCCCCTTGCTGCTGGCCGTCCTGCTCCACCCAGAGGCTACTCCACCTCTGCTGCTGTGACCTGTCCTGCTCCACCCAGAGGCTACTCCACCTCTGCTGCTGTGACCTGTCCTGCTCCACCCAGAGGCTACTCCACCTCTGCTGCTGTGACCCGTCCTGCTCCACCCAGAGACTACTCCACCTCTGCTGCTGTGACCTGTCCTGCTCCACCCAGAGGCTACTCCACCTCTGCTGCTGTGACC